TCGACCTGACCTGCCCTGACCCGCCAAATTCTCGACCCGTTCTTGTCTAAATTACATGTAATCTTAGTCAAATTACTTAGAATTTTCCTTTTATTACATCATATTTTAGTTATAATAAAGTTGTAAATTAGTGAAAACCTCAATTTCTCCAATAATATAACTACATTTATCCTGATGTAGTTTGTTTTCTTGGTCTTATAATGAAATTAACGAATATTTCTAATATTTTCCATATAAATTGCATACCGGTTGGATCAACCTGTCCCAACCCGCGATCCATTATAAATTACATGACCTCGACCCGACCTGCCACGGCACGGGTATGGGTATCATGATACCCGCCCCAAACCTGCCCATTAAGTGTACAATTAATTCAATTTTTCTCAACATAAAATTTCAAATTTGTGTGGAAACAAATTATATATGTTTTATTAAAAAATAATTAAAAATAATTATCACGAGGTTATGTAGGTTGAGTTATTCACATGAGCTTTTTTCTTTTAATAATTATGAACTTTCTTTTAGAAAAGTACTCTATCACATTATGGCAATATTTAGTTGGTCTCATTATTTTGCAAGTTATTGGAAGTAGTTTAAAATCTGATTTTATGTTGATCTTTTTTTTCGTTGAATCTATATAGATCTTTTACCGTAATTAATTATGTATATATATTTGCAATTTATTTTTCTAATTTTACTAAACTTCATCGAGAATAAAAATGTGACCAACAACAACAGGGTTGGACTATCAGGGAAATAATTGTTGTAGTCGTGACGGTTTCCACTTTTGGCAATGTAATTCGTCGGCGACCAATGGAACCACACAAGGCCACTGCATCACGGACAGAATTCTATATGTAAGTGTTTTCAATTTAATCTTTATATTTAGTTTGGTATATTTGTTGGTAATATATATTGAAGTTGTTATGTTTGTGTTACAGGGAAGAAATAGAATGGGCAAGAGAAGGGTACATCCATGATCCATGGCAAAAAAAAAATATGTGTGAAACTTGAATATTGAGAACTATAGCCGGATTTTCGTCATTGGATAAGTTCATCTTTCTCTTTTATTTAGGATTACTGTGGCTATATCAATATTCAATACACCTTTTTGTTTATAAGGGTGAATTGCAAGTTTGGTCACTCATGTTATCTATTTGTAACACGTTAGCCACCTCAATTATTTTCGCTTCAATTTAGCCATGAATACTACACATTTATATAATCTCTTCTGGAATTGGATTCCAGTGTTCTGGGGCAACTAATTTATCCCACAACGACTATACAGCTCACTCCTCCCCTATGGACGCAATCCCCATCATCAGCCACGGGAACAAACAACAAACGGAGCTTTGGGGTACCCCGAATTCACAGCCTCCGGAACTGGACAACCGTCAGCCAAATCTTCATAGGGAAACGACGACGTCGTGGCTTCTGACGACGACGGAGAAGACGTGTCTTGCTGGGCAGCGGCGGATCTGGCTAGGTAGGCCGCCTCCAGGTCACGACCCAGCCCTGAGTCCTCCCTTGGATCCAGAGTTAGTATAACTTTGTAACTGTTCGAGTTTAGATATTAGTTTCAGTGCTTATTGGGTTACGGTCTAGTCTTCTCCAACTCTTTTAAAATGTGGTCCAATACTCTACCCTATACAGTGGTGGACTCAGAAATTTTCCATAGGGCTGTCCTCTTTTAAAAATAAATTAAATAAAAATAATTAATAAAAATAAAATCGTAAATTTGAAAATACCTTACTCGTACAGGTTAAATAAGTCCATGATTTGTTTTCATATTCGGCAATAATTGTAGAATACACTTGGTGTCTATAGTGTTAAAAAAAAATTATCTCTATATACCCTACTAGACAATCATTCACGAACTTATCGCATATTCGATTTGTAAACTTGTTCTCGATGTAACCCAAAGCTGAAAGACTCTTTCAACACTTGCCGTATTAAGGGTAGCTTGAAATTAGTTTAATGGTTAGGTTTTTAAAATAATTAGAGATAGGAAATGACATTTTACTATTACATTTTTCAAAATCGAACAACAAATGAGTTGTAGGTCAATGAAAATTAAGTTTATTAATAAGAATAGTGTTCTAGATTTGAATTACCCATCTATCACTTGTATTCCTATACACAAATGACAGTAGGATAATCATGTTTTCAAATTTCAGGAGTGTCCCTCACTATCAACTATATATTTTTTTTATCCATATGTAAATTACCATTGAGGGTTGGATAATCGTATTCCCAAGGACACCCCTAAACCCCCTGGGTCCACCCCTGACCCTATACTGGATCCACCGCTATTACTCGGGACCTTCACACTGCCAGGGAACACCGATCTGATTCTGATAGATTTGAACTCTTGTTCTTCCAGGTTTTCTCCCTCACTATCTCGAAATCTTAATTCGTTAATCAGTCACTCATCTAACGAAAGCTAAAGTTTGGCAACAGTGGGGATACTCTTTCTCAGGGTGCTAATCTGCCATTTCCCATTCACTCAAGGTCTATCAATTTATTGCTAATTTATTTTTTAACAGTCACATCACCATTTTAACAGTCAAACATGACTGTTGACTAATAAATAGGACAAAAATAATGGAGTTTGACGCAGTGACATAGTCAGGATTTTATTTAAGGGGTGCATTTTTGAACAATGACTTGTAATGTCATATCATGTTTGATATTATGAAATTATTTTAAAATACATAATTGTCCAAACTATCAAGATTTTGCTCATAATGTTATCCCACCAAATAATCATTTACAGTTTTGGTCGTTTTCCTCTAATAATCGGCACCCTCTTATCCATTTTGATAAGCTAGACTATTAATGAAGAAATTAGCTTACAAAAAATTATTTATATGATTGAATGTGACAGGATTTTAAAAATTTGTCAAATCAGCATAACATGCCAAATCAGCGTCACATCACCATTTATGATATTCACTTTGATATATTTTTGAAATAATTTTTTTGAGTAATTATTACTAGTCTATACCCTTTTGTGGTATTGTTTGTATTACGTAAAAGCATATCGCGTGGTATGGAAATGTATCATGGAGGGATGAATATACCGAGTTGTTGAAGGGTTCAATACGTGATAGTAGGAATATACTAACTGACATTTACTACTTTCAGTATTGTGTACCTTATGATATCACTGCTAAACCAAGGTTGTATTGGGTGGTGTTTTTTTGCCCTGTATTTTACCCATAGAAATTTATAGGTCCAATAGATCATGATGAACTCGTTCATTTTGTGTAAAAAATTTCAAAATCGACTTGAGGACAAATGAGATACCATTTGGTATGGAGGTGGTAACGAGTGGTATGAAATTTTGTTTTCTCGAAAAATATTGAAAATAGATCTCATTTTGTAGAGCACAACAAACTCGTTCCATTTGTGCAAAAAAAAATTGAAATCCAAGTTAGAACAAAAAACTAGGGAAAATAAAAAATCTTTAATTGCCAACCCTTAGATCTGGTGCATGCAAAAAATGAATCACTCAAATTTAGTTATGAAAAGTTATGCACCCTATCCGTATCCAATGAAACCCCAAGCAGGCTATTCCACTGTCAGTATTGTACGTGGGTGTTGGGTCGTGCTTGAGCCGGCACGGGCACACCCTGTGCCGATTTATTTTGTGTCGTTTTAATCTGTTTGTTATTTTTGCTAGACCCGACCCAGGCCCGAGCACGGGTTGAATCGTGCTGTGCCTATTCGTGGTCTTGATGCACTCATATTTGTGCTTAATAAAAAGGAAGAAAATAAAATAGGTAATAAAAAGGGAGAGAATTGGACGAAGAATGTAAGTATTAACAGAAAATGTTTGCAAAATGTAACAAATAAGGGGGAAAAGAAAATTGGAAGTATAACGGGGTGTGATTTGACTTTGTTTAATTCTTCGTCCGTTTTTACTTACCGTAGTAATTACACATATATCTTTGTGATCACTTCTATAAATAATAAATAATTATTTTTGTACTTGTATATGTTCTAATATTTGAACTTCTAATTTTTTATATTTATTTTATCAAATAAATATTCTTTTTATTTCATTTCTGTTCTTACACTCAACAAGATTTCAAAAATATTTGTCTCTGATACCATGTTGTGAGAGAGAGAAACGATCGAATTTTATTTCACCAAAAGTAAAATTTACACTGTTCTCTTTACAATATATATGAGTTCTGTACTACCAAATTACAATACAGTACCTTAAGTAAACAAACATTACAAATTAATCCTATAACTATTCTATATACTAACAGGCACTTATTGACTGTGTCGTGCTCGTGCTCATGAAGTTTAGATTCGGCATGACCCATGATTTATTCGTGTTCGTGCTGAACTGACCCATATATTTCGTGCGCGTACTCTAACCGTGCAGAGCCAGTGGGTGACTTGGCCCGGTGCCCACGTACAATCAGTACTCCATAGTCCATATAATTGTTTTTATATAAGGTTTATTTCTATAGTTCATTCTATTTTTTTCTATTTTATATTGATTTGTTGTGTTCTTATTACAGCGAAGAAATCGAATGACGAGAAAGGTGTACGTCGGGTGGGAAAACCAAAAAACTAGACCGAGTAAAAAAATAAATAAATTATAAATGTATGGCGACTTGAATATTTAGGATAATTACCAGAGTGGTTTAAGTTCTTTTGGGAAGGTCAGGCTTAGTATAGGGTGAATAACCATTGGTGATGGATGGTTTTCGTACGATGTGCTCAACATACTCGCGGCAGATTTTGCAACTAATAATCCCGTTCCCTTTGTTAGAGAGGGTGCATGTTATGTTGTCGAACAATTAAAATAATACCATGCGAAGAAGAATGATTAATTACAAGGTGCGATCATCACCTAAAACATTAATTCTGGATAAAGAATGATAATTACATTACCAACTAGAAGTACCGAATTAGTTGAACAACGAGAAATAAAAGTGATAATCTGTCGTATATGAAATTATGAATAGCGCTATAGCTACCTAGCTTCTAATTAAGCTCCGTAAGTATATATTAATGGCCGAGAGTCTCGGGGAAGGGAGGTTTTGCGTGACCTCGTTGAAGCTGGAGACGTTGCCGTCGCGCGGCCGGCGGGGATAGGGTATTTGATGCGCCCGAGTATCTGGGAGCTGTCCCTGGCGGCGAAAGCGAGGATGTCGGCACAGGAGACTGTGTTGGGGCAGATGCGCTCGATTCTTCTTTTGGCTTTGGAGATGACGTTGAATCCTCTCAACCCGGGATTTGTTGGCCGGGTGATCTCTCTCTGCTTTTGGGCCACCGGGGAGGGATTTTAGCAACACAGAACCATCACAACCCCGGACGAAGCAGTCATGAAAGTGCAACCTAATGAACCCAGCCCCGATGCAGGGATTGTGAGACACCGCCCTTCTCACGGTTCTTCTCACAATGGATTCGGCGGCTGGGCAAGAACGCGTGTAGAAGCCAAACCCGAGTGGCGGGGAACCAGCTGCATGCACCGCCGGCACAAAAAACATGATCATCAACAGGAAGAGCATCCTGTCCAACAATGCACGGCGGTGACCCTTCATCGTGGTGCACAAATAACGTCCAAACACGAGGAAGAATCAAGTAGCGCTAGGCCTAGAACGATGGGACGAAAGATAATATATGGTGTAGTAGTCGCTCTCTACGAAGTAACTAGTAAGTAGTATGGAGGTTTTTGGGAGACTGATCACATCTATGTTGGTACTTATATTGTGGAATTAATGACCTTTTCCTTTTGGGGTTTGGTTAGTCGTTTCTGAAACCGTGTAGGTATAAGTAGAGCTTTCTGTTTTTTTTTTATGAACGACGTTTAGCTATAGGTAGAGCTAAATAGATTAGATATAATCATAATACTTGCATAAATAAATAAAAATCCTACACCATTATTAAATAAAATCCTAATACTTGTTGGAAAAATTATTATTAGAATTTTTAAGTCATAAGTAGAAAAAAATCTGTCCGCTTAATCAAAACTTTAGTACCATTTAAAATTTTTATGTCATTTGATGAAAATTGAGCCAACTCATGGGTATTTAACCTAATTCAAATCGGTCAAAATGAATTGAACACAGTGTCAGTATGAATTTTTTTAAAAACTTGCCTGTCTTCCACTCAGACCTAAACAACAAAATGGAAGTCGTGGAAAAAGTTTCTTTGTCATTTCCTTGATTACCACTCCAGCAATACATTACTGGTTTAAGCCCTATGCACGCATGCGGCGAATAGACGATCGGCATTAATTAGTGGGCTTCGCAGCTGACGATGGCTGCATTCTCTAAGAAAAACAGAAGGAAAGCAGAAATTGATTTGGGAAATCGTATTAACTTTAATCGAGGTGAAATTTTAATATTAGAGCAGAGAGTGGAGTTGCACAGGAGAGAAGATAGGATGATAAGATGATTAAGCTAAGAGTGATTTAACAGAGAGTCAGAGGATTAGAATAAAACAAAATAGAGATTGAGAAGAAGAAAATAATTGTGAATTAGGAATTTAGAGAGATTTGGACGAGGAAGAAGAGAAGAGATGGATAAATTGAAATTACTTTCAACCCGTAAACCTTAATCACTTAAAGCTATAATTTACTAATCTAGTCCTAAGTTAATAATATGTTTATGGTAAATTATCAATTCTTACCGTAATCTTAACACTTGCAGGATAAAGCATACTTGTGTGATAAGAATCGTGTCACCAATAACAAACATTATTATGCATGCTTATGAAGAATAAGTTTTATATGGATGTGTAACATTTTGTAAGTTTCGTTACTATATTACTAAATGTGTATTTATATGTATATTAGAAATACGAAAAAATATCTAAATGGGTGCACCATATAAAATATGATCACGTGGGCTCCGTACTCCTACAATGCAAAACGTAAGGTCATATTTCAACTCAATTAAAATGTGAATCGACTCCTGCTTGGTGCAGAGCGTGTAAAGGTATTGAGATACCCACCCACTCCAGCCGTTCGCCATCATTATTTCATACCTTAAAACATAATAATTGTAAAAATATTTTTTGCATCTTTTTATACTGTAGTTGGATAAATGAAATACAGAATAACTGCACGCAAGCAAAAGCAATCAGACATTCAGACGTATCACAAATTTCCCACACTGTTTCTATAAAACACAACGAAATTAAAACAAGATAACCGTGATCCAAAACAAAACATGCGTGCTAGAATATATTATGGATGCATGGATATATTATGATTCATAAATATAAGAAAATATTCCAAAGAAATACCATATGCATGAGATGAAGATATAATAAATCACTTTCAGCAATAGGAAATAAGGTTTTGCTCTTGCTAGAATATCTTAAGTTTCTAGTCTTGAAAAGGGAAAATGATTTTGGTTTCATGAAATGTTGGAGGAAATTAAATCGTTATTTCAGCAACAACGAACCATCACAACCCCGGACGAAGCAATCATGAAAGTGCAACCTAATAAGCCCAGCCCCGATGCCGGGATTGAGAAACACCGCCCGTCTCACGGTTCTTCTCACAATGGATTCGGCGGCTGGGTAAGAATGCGTGTAAAAGCCAAACCTGAGTGGCGGGGAACCAGCTGCATGCACCACCGGCACAAAAAACATGATCATCAACAGGAAGAGCATCCCGTCCAACAATGCACGGCGGTGACCCTTCATCGTGGTGCACAAATAACGTCCAAACACGAGGAAGAATCAAGTAGCGCTAGGCCTAGAACGATGGGACGAAAGATAATATATGTAGTAGTCGCTCTCTACAAAGTTAACTAGTAAGTAGTATGGAGGTTTTTGGGAGACTGATCACATCTATGTTGTACTTATAGTGTGGAATTAATGACTTTTCCTTTTGGGGTTTGGTTAGTCGTTTCTGAAACCGTGTAGGCATAGGTAGAGCTTTCTGTTTTTTTTTTGAACGACGTGTAGCTATAGGTAGAGCTACATAGATTAGATAGAGGAATTCCTGATTCTAATATGGAATCGGATTATCTTCCAGGAAGCTAGGGATCGAATGCCATTGGACCGACTAGGATTAGTTTTAATATAATCATAATACTTGCATAAATAAATAAAAAATCCTACACCATTATTAAAAAAATCCTAATACTTGTTGGACAAATTATTATTATTATTAGAATTATTAAGTCGTAAGTAGAAAACATCCTAATACTTGTTGGAAAAATTATTATTAGAATTTTTAAGTCAGTAGAAAAAAATCTGTCCGCTTAATCAATACTTTAGTACCATTTAAAATTTTATTTCATTTGATGAAAATTGAGCCAACTCATGGGTATTTAACCTAATTCAAACCGGTCAAAATGAATTGAACACGGTGTCAATATGAATTTTGTTAAAAACTTGCCTGTCTTCCACTCAGACCTAAACAACAAAATGGAAGTCGTGGAAAAAGTTTCTTTGTCATTTCCTTGATTACCACTCCAGCAATACTGGTTTAAGCCCTATGCACGCATGCGACGAATAGACGATCGACATTAATTAGTGGGCTTCGCAGCCGGCGGTGGCTGCATTCTTTTAGAAAATCATAAGGAAAGCAGAAATTGATTTGGGAAATCGTATTGACTTTAATCGAGGTGAAATTTTAATATTAGAGCAGAGAGTGGAGTTGCACATAAGAGAAGATAGGATTATAAGATGATTAAGAGTGATTTAAGATAGAGCTAGAGGATTAGAATAAAACAAAGGTAAAATTCATCTGTTTAGCCAAAACTTTGACGTTTGTGACAATAATAGCTATTTTTGGAGAAATACCAATAATAGTCAGAATATTGAAAATTTTATGACAAATATAGCCAACCGTGTTAGAAACTCCGTCAATTAAGTTAACGTTACGCTGATTAGGATGCTAAATTATTACACACGTCAGCGACAAGTCATCAATATCATTGTCACATCATTTTGATATATCTTTTAACAATTCCAGGTGGATAAATAAATAAATAATTAATTTTTTTTTCAAATAGTCTTTTTTATCTGAACTAAATTTTTATTTATTTATGAAAACTAAAAAAAATAATTTTATCTCACATCCCTCTCTTCTTTCTGCCACCACCCGTAGAGCACCCTCGCAGAGCCACCGCGATCCCTTTCGACAGGTCGGGTTCTTCAGTTTTGAATTCTCTCAAACCAGAACTGCCAGCCTGCCACCACATACTCCCCTTCCTTATCACCACCATCATCTCCATCCGACCTAGAAATCAATCTTCAGGGATTATTGGTAGAACTAACTATATTGGATAGAGGAATTCCTGATTCTAAAATGGAATCGAATTATTTTCCAGGAAGCTAGGGATCGAATGCCATTGAACCGACTAGGATTAGTTTTAATATAATCATAATACTTGCATAAAAAAAATCCTACACCATTATTAAAAAAAATATCCTAATACTTGTTGGAAAAAATAGTATTAGATTAAGTCATATGTAGAAAAAAAATCCATATGTTTAAGCAAAAGTTTAGTACCATTTAAAAATTTATTTTATTTGATGAAAATTGGACCAACTCATGGGTATTTAACCTAATTTAACCCGATCAAAATAAGTTGAACCGGTGTCAGTATGAATTTTGTTAAAAACTTGTCTATCTTCCACTCAGATGTAAACAACAAAATGGAAGTTGTGGAAAAAGCTTCTTTGTTGTTCCTTGATTACCATTCCAGCAATACTGGTTTAAGCCCTATGCACGCATGCGGCGAATAGATAATCGGCACTAATTAGTGGGCTTCGCAGCCAGCGGTGGCTGCATTCTTTATGAGAAACAGAAGGAAAGCATAAATTGATTTGAGAAATCGTATTGACTTTAATCGAGGTGAAATTTTAATATAAGAGCAGAGAGTGGAGTTGCACAGGAGAGAAGATAGGATTATAAGATGATTAAGCTAACAGTGATTTAACAAGAGTTAGGCTCAGTTTGGCCATGCTGTAGCTTTTGCAGAAGCAACTTCTGGCTTGAGCTTTTAGAGAAGTACTTTTCAAAAAAAGCAGTTGAGTGTTTGGCTGAAAAACTATTAAAAGTGCTTTTTAGTATGAGAGGTTGTGTAAAATGACTATAAAGGATTTATAATATAAACTATGAATAATAATTCTAAACAATAAAATGTAGTCAAAATGGATCTTGTTAGACTTCTTTTATATTAAATAATATATTATTATTATTTATTTTATTTTTTAAAATGGGGGTTAATTACATGGTTGGTCACTGAGATTACAAAAATCGTTCATGTTTGGTCACTCAAAATATTTAATTCTGTTAGTCGTCACTAAAATTAGTTTGATGGTTCATGTTTGGTCACTCTCCGTTACCTTCCGTCATTCTCCGTTAACACCGTCAATTTTTTGCTGACTTGGCTAATAGAAGTGCTGAGTCACTCAATTTTAAGAAAAAAAAATTATAACTCAACCCACCATGTCAGAAAGCCGCCACATAAGCCCATAAACTAACCCAACCCAACTCAGCCCCCTAACCCGATGCCTGCTATCCAACCCTTCCGCTTCCCTGTTGAAGTTTAGGGAATGGACATTTCTCGCGGCC